GCTGCTCCAGATTTTGTCTGCTACACTTTTGATAAATTCTCCTCAATGTATCTTATTTGTGTATCACTCGGCTGTAGATCCTCCAATCATCTCTGACACTGTCCTTCCTTCTGGAGGGGGGCTATGTCTGTTCCCCATGGTCCCTGTGTGTGTTGTAAAGTAGTCACCGCTCCAAGCTCGGCCCGGGATGGACTACAGTCTCAATGCAAATTAGTAAACTAAACATGAGATTGTAGTCCATCCCGGGAGTGAGCTTGGAGCGGTGACTACTTTACAACACACACAGGGACCATGAGGAACAAAAGTAGCCTCCCTCCAGAAGGAAGGACCATGTCGGCACCAATTCAGAGAGGATTTGAGGATCTACAGCCGAGTGATACACAAATCAGAGACGTTGCTAATAGTTCAGGGACTTGAATGGATTTTTAAGATTTAACTCCGGAGTTTAGTGTCACTATCAGTGTCTGAATATTTGCACTCTGCAAATCTAAAGGATTGCATTTGGATATAAGGCATGGTGCAGATCTGTGCGTGAGCCTGAAACGGTCATAGTTTACCAACGCAGTTTTCTGACTTTTTTTTTTTTTTTCTTACTGTTGGTCTGGAGCGAAATTTGGGGATGTCCCTTCTGTTACCCTTTCAACTCCTAAGCTTCCAAAAAGCAAATCCGTGCTTGTTAGCAGCTGCTGGTACCCGAACACAGCGGGATGTGAGCTGGATCTGTGTTCTGCTGGAACCACTTTGTCCATTTGCACTGTGGTCACATCCTGTTCACCCAGGGTGGTTTATAATCCATTTAGTACAGGAGTGGATGAATCAATATGGAATTCAGGGGCCAGTCTGTCCTATCCAGGAGCCAGCAGGACCTCAAGCCTCAAACGTTGGGTGCCAGCTGTAAATTTTAAAGTGTATTTCCACTTTTGCAATCAAATTTGAGGAAACCCCTCTATATGTGTATATATATAGGGTTAGCGACCTGGCTCCTGGGATTTGTCCAGCCCTGGTTTGGTAAGAGGATGATTAGTTCTTGGAGAGTAGGCGCTGTGTTATACAGATGTGTTCAGCCCATTAGAGGATTACAGCTGGCGACATGTTTAGCAATGAAGATAATTTCATTTAGAATTACAGCTGGACTCGGCATAAATGTTAAATTGCCTGTTGCGCATACATTGTCCTGCATTAGTATGTGCAATTACATTACACTCTGCCTTAGTAATTTGATATTGTGTGGTGTGTATGTATATAATCTAATATGTGTTACAATATTGAAACATAAGTTACAAGCTGGATTTATTTGCATTTATAAGTGATGCTTGTGCACGGTTTTGTTGCAGTTTGAATTTTGTATTCCTGAAACTTCCATGGTGGTTGCTGACTTAAAGGAGAACTATGAGGGGGGGGGGTGCTTTTCACTCACCTCATAGTTCTAGCCGACCTGTGACAATGAGACTGTCGCAGGTCGGCTCAGTAGATCGAAAGGTGAGCCAACACATACAGGCGTTCGCTCACCTCTCTATCCTGTCACAGCTCTCTGCCGTGACAGGGGAGGGGCTGGATGTTTGCTTAGCATATTGCATCATTTTGTTGCCCACTGCTTAAAAACCAATATATAGGTTGTGTGTACATTGGTCAATACCGCTCAGTAGGGATGCACCGATACCGGTATTTCGGTATAGATAGCGTACCGATATTTTTTTTCTGGTACTCGCCGATACAGCAAGTCCCATAAGGAAGCCAGGCAGCGTGTAAAGACTCGCCACCCAGCTTCTCTATTAGCAGGGAAGCTGTCCTCATGCTTCTCGTCACTAGGTGACGAGAAAGCATGGAGCCGGCTTTCTGGCAAATCGGGAAGCTGGGTGCCGTTTAATGACGTGGCTTCCTGATGAGCCAGGAAGCAGGCTTCCTGCTCCCTCATCATGAGGTGGCGAGAGAGCATGGAGCCAGCTTCTCGGCCAATCAGGAAGCCGGGCAGCGTGTAATGGCTCGCTGCCCGGCTTCCTGATACCTGAGGTATCGGGTTAGGCATCTGAGAAATCTTAAATGGGTGGCCCTGCTGCTTCACCAAATGTCCATTTGAGTAATTAAAGCCAGAATGAAAATTTTCAGCCGAACAATGACTGCAACCAATCAGCTTCAGTCTCTATTCATGAAATTGAATCGTAGCGGGCGTCTGCTGTCACAATACAGTAGCCCCAGCGGGAGATTTGTCCGTGCATACTGTTAAGGCTGAATGAAATAATCTATTGGTGTATAGCCAGCTTAAAATTACATTCTGTGCTGAGGTTTGTGATCTTGTCCATTGGGATATGTGATGGGGGGTTATCATGTGTTACTGATCAGCAGGTTTGATTGTTGCTTGATCTTTTGCAATTGCTGTATTGGCCCTTTTGGAAAATGTGAGCTGGGATATGGGAGACGGACTACAGCTGGGGTAGGCAAACTCTGCCCTCCAGCTGTGGCAAAACTACAAATCCAATTATGCCTCTGGGAGTCATGCCTGTGCTTTTTCAAAATCTGACAATGCCTCATGGGTCTTGTAGTTCCACAACAGGTGGAGTGCTGAAGTTGCCTACCTAGCTTGCCTTTTGCTCTATGTGTATGGGTAATATAGAAAGAACAAGGTTGACGTTACAAGTGGCAGAGTTACGGTTTCTCTGCAGGGACACTAATGAAAAACTTTCATGTTTACAGTTTAAGCTTCCAAAGGATTTGTAATTCCTCCTGGGTATACTTGTGGGTGTGTCCACCATTGCTATTGGCAGTATCGCTCTGCTACTTCCTGTTTATCCTTTTTTTTTTTTTTTTTATTGCTTCTTGGGTTCACTCCCTGCTCACTGGACGGTGATGCTTGTTAAATGTCCAATGATTAGGCTTGATGCAAAGGAGAAGCCACAATGCTGAACTAGAAAGGCGAATTGCTAATCGAGGAAAGAACTACACTATATTGCCGAAAGTATTGGGACGCCGGCCTTGACACGCACATGAACTCTAATGACATCCCAGTCTTAGTCCGTAGTGTTCAGTATTGGGTTGGCTCCGCCCTCTAATGACATCCCAGTCTTAGTCCGTAGGGTTCAGCATTGGGTTGGCTCCGCCCTCTAATGACATCCCAGTCTTAGTCCGTAGGGTTCAGTATTGGGTTGGCTCCGCCCTTTGCCGCTATAACAGCTTCAACTCTTCTGGGAAGGCGTCTTTAAATCCTCATGTCTTCTCATGCTGGGCAGAACTTCTGTTTTGCAGCAAATGCCTTGTCTCTGAAATGGATACATGGTGTCTGTGTGAAGGTTCACAACCTGAGCCAGCACTACAGGAAGAGGCACTCAGCTGCAAAGGGAAGTTCTCCCCAAGCATGAGAAGAGATACAGATTTAAAAGGAAGAGCAGCAAAGAGAAGGGAAACTACCATGGATTACAGTAAGGCGCACATTACAGTATTGGTTTATGTTAAAAAATCTGAGGGTTTAATGTCACTGAAGAGTTCCCTTCACTGGAACTAGGGGGCGGAGCCCAACCCCTGAAAATAAACCCCACCCCCCATAATCTCCCCTCCACCAAACTTTACACTTGGCACAATGCAGTCAGGCAAGTACCGTTCTCCTGGCAACCGCCAAACCCAGACACGTCCATCGGATTGCCAGACAGAGAAGCGTGATTGGTCACTCCAGAGAACACGTCTCCACTTCTCTAGAGTCCAGTGGCGGCGTGCTTTACACCGCGGCATCCCGCGCTTTGCATTGCACCCGATGATGCAGCTGCTCGGCCATGGAAAACCATTCCATGAAGCTCTCTACGCACTGTTGTTGTGCCAATCTGACGGCCGCATGGAGTTTGGAGGTCTGTAGCTATGGACTCTGCAGACAGTTGGCGACTTCTGCGCACTGTGCGCTTCAGCATGTGCTGACCCCGCTCTGTTATTTTACGTGGCCGACCACTTCCTGGCTGAGTTGCTGTTGTTCCCAGTTGCTTCCACTTTCTTATAATACCACCGGTGACCGCGGCGGAATATTTAGTAGCAAGGAAATGTCACTGAACACCTGAATCCAATGATTTGGAGGGACGTCCCAATACTTTTGGCAATATAGTGTATGTCTACTGCAGGGATAGGCAACCTCGACACTCCAGCTGTTGTGGAACTACAAATCCCATGAGACGTTGCAAGACTCTTGACAGCCCCAGTCATGATACCCAGAGGCTGAGGCTTAATGGGATTTGTAGTTTCAGCACAGCTGGAGTGGCCCGTTTGAAGCGAAGCAGTGAATGGCCAGCTTTAGTCGAGAGATTTACATTAAACCGGATGGAGTTGAACCAGGCGCATGCAAGAGGGCAGACAGGCCAATAACATTCTAGTAGGATTTAGTCTCCCGGCTGGCCTGGATATGCTGTATAACGAGGTGGGGGGCAACTCCGGCTCTCCAGCTGTGCTTTATCGGCACATACAGCAGTACAAACCTGGCTGAGATTCTAACTCTTCCCTAAGCGATTGTGGGGGGGGGGCAGTTTTACTGCGGCCATACAATTTTGCTTGATGAATAGTTTCCACCTTTTTGTCTCCTAAAAAAAATCTCCACCTAGATCTGAAGATAAACTTCCATAATTATATTCTTGAAATATTGTCTTAAACATGGCAGGAAAGTAATCCACGGTTTCAGAATAGTGTTTTATGGAATGTGTTTCATTGTAGATAAGCAGACATTGTGGGTTCACGTATGTCAGACATGCGCCCTGCGTTTTATAGCCCATAGTGGTGCGTACAAATGAGCATGCAGCCGGCGTTCCTTATGAATGCGTCAGCCTTCCTGAATGACACGGATTAAAGTCATTCTTTCGAGTAATTTGCAGCAGCCGCGTTAGCCGATCCCACAAGTTCTACT